GGACTTTCAATCTACAATATGGCTACTGAAACTTTAACAATTTATCCACCTGAATATTAGAAACTATACTAAAATAGCAGGTTAACTCAAAATGATACAAAATGGTAAGTAATGATAGATAAGTGCCTCTAACTTTATAAGAAACTACCAAACTGTTCTGCAGAGTAGTTGGAGCATTTTGCCTTTCTATCAACAATGAAACAAAGTTCTAAATACTCCACATTCTTATCAACATTTGGTATTGCCAGTATTTTTAATTTTAGCCACTGTAATTAGTATATACAACATGGTTTTAATTGGCATTCCCTATTCCCTAAAACAGGCTTCCCTGGTGGCTCAGAGGTTAAAGTGTCTGCCTGCAATGCGGGAGACCTAGGTTCGATCCCAGGGTCAGGAAGATCCCCTGGAGAAGGAAATAGCAATCCACTCCAGTATTCCTGCTTGGAGAACCCCATGAATGGAGGAGCCTGGTGGGCTACAGTCCACGGGGTCACAAAGAGTCGGACACGACTTAGTGACTTCACTTCTCCCCTAAAAGCACATTCCTAACATGGTTGGTGATGGTATAAAATGGTATCATTTTTATGATAGAAAAAGCTGAATGACATTCATGTGATATCCGTAAGTAATTGAGAAAAAAATTAAACTTCGCTTACCTGTAGTCCTTGTCTGCATAAAATCTGACACCTGTCTTTAATCTGAGGTTAAAACATTATTAACATCTCTAATTCTACTAATGTGCTAAGCTCTAGGTACTAAAAAGTAAATTCCTTTTATTCCTTAGACATATATGATAAATTTATGTTGACTGGAAAATAAATTATTATTCAACAGATCTAAGTAAATACTGATATAAAGGCCAAAACTTCAATTAAAAAAATAATTTCAGACAACTATACAAAGAACTTTAAGGACAAAGTGACTACAATGTCTTTCAAAATAAGACAAAAGTTTGGATAACCAAAAATTCACAAACCCAGTTACTTATCTAATTTCAGTCTGACAAGATAAAAACAACTGATGAATTCACAAGCTATGTTCACAAAGAGCAAATTCACTTACAAAAATTAATCTGTACAGTAATCATTGAAACTTTAAAAGAATAAAACCAAATACCTGACTTCAGCATCCAGGGTACTGTCAACAGGAAGAGCAGATGAAAATTCTAAAGGTTCCACTCCTGGATTTGGTGGACACAAACTGTGACTGGTACTCATTATTATCAAATTCTAGATATTCAACAGGGTACTATTCAAAAGGTAATTGTTTAACCTGCCTCCTTCAAGCCACAATAAGATCTAAACAGCTCAGCCTGTCTTCTGACCATACACAGAAACATATTCCAATGAAGGGTTTGGCCTGATGATTAACCCCAGCATAGACAACTCAACAATCATAACCAGGAAATGGAAGAAGAACACGTCACACATTCTGAAGGCCAGTTTCTTAATAATGACACGTGAACATCATTTCCATATTGTAACTTAGAAGACTAATATTAAGCAAGAAAAGAAGTTGGAAGTTAGGTATTTATTTACTTAATTAAAAATATTTAGCTTCTTCCAAAAGGGAATTCTGAAGCATCACATACAAGGTACAATTATGATAAATGATCATCACAGCTTGCCTGATTTAACCAAGGATAAATTACCAATTCCAATAAATGTCTTTAATATGGAGCCCTGAAATAGAATATTCTATAAATTGACTTAACTAGAAAACTAAATTTCTTTTCAAAGCTTTCTATTAAAAAATTTTAATTAACAAAAGCAAATACCTGCAAGAGTTCAAGAACCTAATTCTCTATATTAAAAGGAAATTCTGGAATATGCTACAACAAAGATGAATCTTGGTGACATCATGCTAAGTGAAATAAGCCAGTCACAAAAGACAAACACTGGATGATTCTATTTACACAAGGTACTTGCTGCTGCTAAGTCACTTCAGTTTCGTCCGACTCTGTGTGATCCCATAGACGGCAGCCCATCAGGCTCCCCCGTCCCTGGGATTCTCCAGGCAAGAACACTGGAGTGAGATGCCATTTCCTTCTCCAATGCATGAAAGTGAAGTCGCTCAGTCGTGTCCGACTCTTAGCGACCCCGTGGACTGCAGCCCACCAGGCTCCTCCCTCCATGGGATTTCCCATGCAAGAGCACTGGAGTGGGGTGCCATTGCCGTCTCCACACGAGGTACTTAGGGTGGTCAAAACCATCAAGACAGAAAGATAATGTGATTGGTTGCCAAGGGTTAGGGTGAGGGGAGACTGGAAAGTTATTATTGCTCAACAGGTATAAGGTTTTAATTTTACAAAATGGAAAGAGTTGTGGGGATGGACAGTGGTGATGGACCTAACAATGTGTATATTCTTAATACCACTGAGCTGTATACTTAAAAACAGTTAAGATGACAAGTTTTAGGTCATGTATACTTTACTAAAATAGAAAAAAGGGGAAAGAAGTTTTAAATGATCTAAAAGTTCAAACCGTTCATGATGCTTTTTCTATTCTTCCTATTACTCTACTATATGAAGAACACAGGGTGTGAGAGCCTGTCTAAAATCTTCCAGGAGGTTATCATTCCAAATGAGTCAGAAGTGCTCTCAGGCTGTGACATATTAAATACAATTAGGATACTTGATGTTTCCTAGATGACCTCTCTTCACTACATAATTCTAATCCCTTGTTTTCAGTGATGTTACATCATAACCAAATGTATACTTTATGAATATAAAGACTACAATAAAAAAACTGAATAGAAAATATAAAACACCTCTCTCTAGATTTTTTCTCTTCCAAATGCATATGTTATGCCTTTTATTTTACACACACTTAAACACTCTGTTTTACAGTTTAATTCCCACATACATGAAGCAACATGTCTCATCACTGCAGAGGATCACCAGTACCCACTGACTAATTGAGTCTTCCTATTTTGATGGGAATTAACAGAATCAAATCAATTTGTTATGAAATACTGTTTCCTTTCTAATAGATTTGCACCATTAAGTGACCAAAACAGAAAACTTATTGGGGTCTAAAATAAGTTATACTGCCTACAGTGGGATGGACTGAAGATTCCACCTTGTCAAGACAGATTTGTTGTCAGCTTATATGTTCAATTTATGTCATGTTGAACTCCAGGACTATGTGAAATATAAAAATGCATTAAATGAAACTGATGAGACAGGACAGTTTACACTGCATGAAGCTGTTCAACAAACTCTGAATGATCATTAAAACCCCTTTGTCTAAACCAAATCAAGAATGTAGAAGTAACTGGTGTTCTCAATGAACATAACAAGCAAACAGAAAAAGCAGAATGAAAGATTTGGAACTTGGAAAAGGCAGTACCCATGTTTTAAACTCAAGAATACAAAAATCAGCACATTTTGTGAGGTTCAGAGTTCATCCTTTGCATCCTTCTAACAATGTGACACTAGTTGGCAGGAAGGTGTGGTTTTCACCTGAAGTGATAAAAATTTGTGTATATCACAAATTAAATGATTCAAATATACACTTTTTTGCTTTGGGAATTCAGTTTTTAATTTTTCATCTTTTACTCTCTAAGTTTCCAAAATTTTGTTCTATGGTACAAGTAGTACTCATAATATGTGTTCTTATGTTTTTTTCCATAATGTAAACAATGAATTAGAAAAAAAATGCTACCTAGAGACCTAGTATCAGGAAAATATCACCAACCTACTTAAAAACCAACTACTAATACAATAATTAACTTTCAAAATATTCAATATTCAGTATCAATCTTCTTCAAAATATTAATGCTTACTGAACCACTGAAATGTTACCTAATCTGGATTAGCTTTCCTACACAGTAAAGAATAGAACCAGAATAATTCTTTCGTCTGTTTTACAAAAACTTATCTGTATAAACTAATTTAACCATCTCAGAACAGATGAGTAATTGAGTTATCACAGATTTCCTGGAGTTCCTATGCAATTTTTTTGGCACTACCAGTAAACCAGCATTTCTACTTATTCCTGGCTTTCCCAAGATGGAAGCAGAGATGGTTCTAGTGTGGCCCAGATGTTTCTATCAAGTATAAACTTCTAATTTCTGTCTAAAACCAATGATTCCTAATTACAATACCTACTTCCAAGTATCTCAGCTACTTAAGGTTCAGGTAGCCATTAAAATTTAGAAAGAGCCATTTAACTGAATCTATTAAAAGTGGCAAGTAAATTGAGAATACTTTACACTTTAAATTTTTAAAGGAAAAATGATTTAAAGGAAATTTTAAAATCTTAATATAAGAAAACGCTGTTAATATCCAGAATTATTTACATTTAAGACTAACACAGTAACCAGTAGGCACAATTCTAAAACTCTATTTAAAAATTATAATCAGTTTCTGGCAAATAGTAATTAAGAATTGTATTATTAATAACTAAGGCACAATCTTTTAGCAGCTGAAGACTTTCTGCTCTTGAGGACTTTTATTAGTAGATATAAGAAGATATAAGAAGTAGATATAAGAAGCAGTAAAAAGAAATTTTTTTTTTTAAAGCAGCAACAGCAATGTGGTTAAAAGTCTGGCAATTAGAAGTCTGGACTTTGGACTGGTTTGAACCATGAACTAGCTATGTGATCTAGGGTAAATTACCTAACCACTCTGCACACTAATTTCATAATCTGTAAAATGAAGATATTATATGCCCACTTTATAGAGCTGTTTTGAGAATTAAGCTGATAAAATAGGACCTCCCTGGTGGTCCAGAAGTTAGGAATCCGCCAATGCAGGGGACACAGGTTTGATCCCTGGTCTTGGAAGATCCCATATGCCATAGGGCAACTAGGCCCATGCGCCTCTACTACTGAGCCCAAGACCCCTCGAATTTGTGCTTCACAAGAAAAGCAACCAAATGACAAGGAAGAGTAGCCCCTGCTTGCCCCAACTAAAAAAAGCCCAGACGCATGGCAACAAAAAGCCAGCGCAGCCAAAAATTAAAATAATAAATAAAATAAATAGACTAAATGCTTACCGATGATAGGCTTCTCGCCGATACTTTTTCAGGGCATGTTTATCCATGTTAGCAGGCATATCTGCCGCATTTTGTAACCGATCACTCCAGGAGGTTGTCATTTTGCTTTAATTGTACGCTCAATTCTAGAAGAGAAAAATCAGTAATTTAGCATATTAACACTGTCATTCATATATTGATATCAGATTTTTTTAAAAATTAGTAGAACTGTAGATTGCAAACTATCTGATATAACTATCTATTTAAATATATTGAGGGACTTCCCTGGTGGTCCAGTCGTTAAGATCAGCCTCCCAAATGCAGGGGATTCGGGTTCAATCCTTGGTCAGGGACTAAGATCCCACATGCTGTGGGTGCGACTCGGGCCTCACAGTGGAACTGCTGAGCCTGTATGCCACAAAGAGGATCCTGTATGCCACAAGTGAGACTCAATGCAGACTAAATAAATGAACATTTTGAAAAAATAAAATAAAATGTATTGAATATGGAAATATACTGAAAATTGAACCAACACTTCTAAACTATCTAAATTTAGGAAAATAATTTCATATAGTAATTTCTATCCAGAAAGATCACATATATCACTTTCAAATAATTAAGCATGACAGTCAGTAATAATTTACTTTAATCCTAGATTCTAGAAAAGGAGCTGAGACCACAAAGATTTGAGAAAATATATAATGTTCAGTTAACATATGTAAAGTTAGAATATGTAAGGTAAGCAATTTTAAATTCTGATAAACACAGCAAAATCAATCAATGGTAGTACAAATATAAGTCACGTGCATTTGACTTCTAATTAGATTATGCTTTTGTATTTTTCTACAATAAATTATCTTCCACATAGCATTAAAGACTGAACTAGAAAAAAATAAATAAATAAAATAAAATGAAGGAATGGAAAGAAGTTAAAAAAAAAAAGATTAAAAAAAAAAAAGACTGAACTAGAAGAAGAAATAAACTAAAAGATTTAATCTCATTAGAATAAACATTTAAAGCCAGGTAAGCAAGTAAATGTCTTTACTGTATTTTAACTATAGGCCCTGTTATAGGTTTCACTTCTATTTACAGAAGTTTTCATCTGTAAATAGTTTCAAATAAGGATGAAAAATAACCTTTTAGAGTTAAATCTTTATTAACATTTTATTTAAGTACCAATAGGGCTTCCCTGGTGGCTCAGAGGGTTAAAGCATCTGCCTGCAACGCGGGAGACCTGGGTTCGACCCCTGGGTCGTGAAGATCCCCTAGAGAAGGAAATGGCAACCGACTCCAGTACTCTTGCCTAGAAAATCCCATGGACGGAGAAGCCTGGTAGGTTATGATCCATGGGGTCACAAAGAGTCAGACAGGACTGAGCGACTTCACTTTCACCTTTCTTTCTTTCATAGTACCAATACTTGTGAAAACATCTGCATTCTAACTTATTCCCAATTTTGAAAATGCTAACACTGTTTACATTAAGTCAATTTTTAAATAAGTCATCTTTGTAGCTTTTGAAAATAATTTATTGAAGCGAAATTCACATAAGAAAACAAACATTTTATAGTGAATAAGTCGATGGCATTTGGTATGCTCATAGTATAGTGCAACCACCACCTCTACCGAGTTCCAAAATATTTTTATCACTCCAGAGTAAAACCCCTTACTCAGGGATTCCCTGGTGGTCCTATAAGACTCCACATGCCCAATGCAGGGGGCCTGGGTTCATTCCCTGGTCATGGGACTAGATATCCCACATGCCACAACTAAAGATCCCACATGCTACAGACAACAAAGATGTAAGATCCCACGTGCCACAACTAAGACCTGGTGCAGCCAAATAAATATTACCAAAAAAAAAAATCTTACCTAGTAAGCAGTTTCTCCCCATCCCCCCTACCCCTTGGCCACTACCAATCCCAGTTCTGTCTCTTTGGATTTATCTATTCTGGATATAGCATTTAAGCAGAATCATGTAATACATGAGTTTTTGTGTCTGGCTTCCTTCACTTAGCATGTTTTCTAGATTCGTCCATGTTGTACCATGTTTCAGATACTTCATTCCTTTTTATGGCTGAATAAGAAATATTTCGTTTGTATGTACCACAATTTGCTTATCCATTCATCCATTAATGGACATTTGGATTCTTCTACCTTTTAGTTACTGTGAACAGTACTGCTATGAACATGTATGAACAATGCATTTACTTGAGTACTAGTTTTCAATTCTTTTGGATATATATTTAGATCTGTAATGTTCCTGAAGTAATCAAAATTTCCAAACCCTTTAGGTAACTGTGGTACTGGCTAGTACTAGTCAAGGGACTTCCCTGGCAGCCCAGTAGTTAAGACTCCATGCTTCCACTGCAGCGTTCACAGGTTCGATCCCTGATTGGGAAACTAGAATTCTGCATACCACAGGTGTGGCAAAAAAAAAAAAACTCTAGTTAAAAACTAGTTTTAAAAACTAGTTAAAAACTATATTTTAAGACTCTTCTATGCCAAAGCCTTTGACTGTGTGGATCATAATAAACTGTGGAAAATTCTGAAGGAGACGGGAATACCAGACCACCTGACCTGCCTCCTGAGAAACCTGTATGCAGGCTAGGAAGCAACAGTTTGAACTGAACATGGAACAACAGACTGGTTCCAAATAGGAAAAGGAGTATGTCAAGGCTGTATATGGTCACCCTGCTTATTTAACTTATACGCAGAGTACATCATGAGAAATGCTGGGCTGGAGGAAGCACAAGCGGGAGTCAAGATTGCTGGGAGAAATATCAATAACCTCAGATATGCAGATAACAACACCCTTATGGCTGAAAGTGAAGAAGAACTAAAGAGCCTCTTGATGAAAGTGAAAGAGGAGAGTGAAAAAGTTGGCTTATAGCTCAACATTTAGAAAACTAAGATCATGTCATCTAGTCCCATCACTTCATGGCAAACAGATGGGGAAACAGTGAAAATAGTGGCTGACTTAATTTTGGGGGGCTCCAAAATCACTGCAGATGGTGATTGCAGCCATGAAATTCAAAGATGCTTTACTCCTTGGAAGGAAAGTTATGACCAACCTAGACAGCATACTGAAAAGCAGACATTACTTTGTCAACAAAGGTCCCCCTAGTAAAGGCTATGGTGTTTCCAGTACTCAAGTATGGATGTGAGAAGTTGGACTATAAAGCTGAGTGCCGAAGAATTGATGCTTTTGAACTGTGGTGTCGGAGAAGACTCTTCAGAGTCCCTTGGACTGCAAGGAGATCCAACCAGTCCATGCTAAAGGAGATCAGTCCTGGGTGCTCATTGGACGGACTGATGCTGAAGCTGAAACTCCAATACTTTGGCCACCTGATGCGAAGAGCTGACTCATTTGAAAAGATCCTGATGCTGGGAAAGATTGAGGGCAGGAGGAGAAGGGGACAACAGAAGATGAGATGGTTGGATGGCATCACCGACTCAATGGACATGGGTTTGGGTGTACTCTGGGAGTTGATGATGGACAGGGAGGCCTGGCGTGCTGCAGTTCATGGGATCACAAAGAGTCAGACAAGACTGAGCAACTGAACTAAACTTAAAATATAAAATTAACATGTCATTTTTCACGCTATTATAACTGAATCTAGATATGAGGGTTTTTGTCTTTAAAAAAATTCATATAGCAAACCCAGACTATTTTGTGAACCACCCCCCCCCCAAAAAAGGGTTAAATTTTGAAAACTAGAGCATTACAATGGAACTTCAATAATTTTTCATGTGGGGTGGGTTTGGATATTGAGTGAAAAAACAGGACTATATTCACATAAGTTTAAATAAGACTCAGAAATGAAATTTGTATTCTATGATAAATTAAGAGAAATTAGAATAATCATGCCATTAAAGAAAAGCTTCAATTTGAGTTCAAGTCCTACTGTGGTTATAGTTCATATAGCATAGAAAATAAATTTTTGTTTATTTTAATAAATTTTATTTATTTAAGGCCATAAGTGAATTCCAACTTTTAAAAATCTCTAACAGTACTCACAAAAGTCTTCTTTTTATTTTTAAAAAGTTAAGTAGATCAGCAGAGGGTGAACCCTCTAATCTTCACCTGAATATTGATTAGCACATATGTAGTTTGATTTCCTCAGTAAGGAAACCACACAAGGTCCTAAAAAGAACCAGCTAAAGAGTGTTGAGGAAACAATTTCTGAAGCTCACAGACTAGGAAGAGTTCCTGCCTCTATCGGCTAGAATGGAAAACTTCATCATCATATAGTATTAAGTAGAGCAGTTGGAAGGATTTTGTGTCTGTAGAAGGCCAAAATTATCTGGGCTGCTCTGATCCTGCCTAGCAAAGGTTAAAAGCAAGACCTAAAAAAGATCAAACTGCTTCCAAGTAACTTAGCTATGTCACAAAATAAAAATATGTGTAAGTACAAAAATATCTATTACTTAACAATGTAAAATGTATACTGTATGGCATCCAATAAAAAATTAGCAGCATTCAAAGAAAAAGGAAAATATGATACACAAAGAGAAGAAAAATCAACTGATGCAAACCCACAAATGACACAGATGATAGAATATTCAAAGACACTAAGTTGTTGTTATTAGTCTGTGTGATAAGTTGCTTGATTCCAACTCTTTGCAGTCCTAAGGACTATAGTCCACCAGGCTCCTCTGTCCATGGGGATTCTCCAGGCAAAAATACTGGAGTGAGTTGTCATGCCTTCCTCCAGGGCATCTTCCTGACCCAGGGATCGAACCCAAGACTCTTATTATTAGTCTAGTAGACTTAAAACACTAAGTATAGGTATGAAAAATTTTTTAAAAATACACAAATCAAACATCTAGAAGTAATTACAACAATATCTGAGGTGGAAAACATGCTAAATAGATCAATGACAGAGCAGACATTACAGAAAACATCAGTGGACTTGGAAGACATAGCAATAAAAATTATCCAAATTAAAAGAGATCAGTGACCTGTGCAACATGTTAAATTATATTCTGATTTCTAATATATGCATAATAGAATCCACAAAAGAGAGAGGACAGAAAAAAAAATATTTAAAGAAAGTGGGTGAAAATTTGCCAAATTTCATGAAAATTAGAAATCTATAGATCCAAGAAAACTGACCAAACC